TCTGTGTTCTGTTAGTGAGGAAATTATAGATCCATCGACCGACTTTTCCTGTTATCCTTTAGCACGCATTTTGTGCGCTATTACGCCATGGTCACACTTGTCGAAGGCTTTTGCAAAGTCTGTATATATTACATCTGCATTCTTTTTGTCTTCTAGTGCATTTAGGACCTTGTCGTAGTGGTCCAATAGTTGAGACAGACAGGAGCGACCTGTTCTAAACCCATGTTGCCCTGGGTTGTGTAACTGATGGGTTTCTAGATGCGTGGTGATCTTGCTTCTTAGGACCTTTCAAAGATTTTTATGATATGGGATGTTAGTGCTATTGGTCTGTAGTTCTTTGCTGTTGCTTTACTGCCCCCTTTGTGGAGTGGGGCTATGTCTGTTGTTTTTAGTAACTGTGGGACGACCCCCGTGTCCATGCTCCCTCTCCATAGGATGGAAAAGGCTCGTGATAGGGGCTTCTTGCAGTTCTTGATGAACACAGAGTTCCATGAGTCTGGCCCTGGGGCAGAGTGCATGGGCATGTCATTTATCGCCTGTTCGAAGTCATTGGCGTCAGGATAACATCGGATAGGCTTGTGTTAATCAAATTTTGTGGCTCTCTCATAAAAAATTCATTTGATCTTCGACTCTCAGTCTGGTTAGCGGCTTGCTAAAAACTGAGTCATATTGGGACTTGAGTAGCTCACTCATTTCCTTGCTGTCATCTGTGTAGGACCCATCTTGTTTAAGTAGGGGCCCAATACTGGACGTTGTTCTCGATTTTGATTTGGCATAGGAGAAGAAATACTTTGGGTTTCTTTCGATTTCATTTATGGCTTTTAGTTCTTCCCGCGATTCCTGACTCCTAAAGGATTCTTTTAGCTTAAGTTCGATGCTTGCTATTTCTCTGACCAGTGTCTCCCTGCGCATTTCAGATATATTGACCTCTTTTAGCCGCTCTGTTATTCTTTTCCGTCGCCTGTAAAGGGAGCGCCTGTCTCTTTCTATTTTACATCTACTCCTCCTTTTTTTAGAGGAATAAGCCTTGTGCATACATCGAGTGCCACCGAGGTTAATCTGTTCTAGGCATAAGTTTGGGTCTGTGTTGCTTAGTATATCTTCCCAGCTTATATCGTTAGGACTTGGTTTACTTGGTCCCACTTTATGTTTTTGTTATTGAAGTTGAATTTGGTGAATGCTCCCTCGTGACTAGTCTCATTTTGTCGGTCTGGGGCTCCAGCATACATGTCTGAACCTCAATTATGTTGTGATCTGAGTATATGTTTTTGATATGGTGACATTTCTTATCAGATCATCATTGTTAGTGAATATGAGGTCTAGTGTATTCTCCAGTCTAGTAGGCTCTATTATTTGCTGGTTTTAAATTGAATTTTGTGCAGAGATTTAAAAGCTCGTGTGAGTGTGAGTTTTCATCAGAGCTGCCTCCTGGTGTTATTTCTGCAACAATATTATTTGCTATATTCCTCCATTTTAGGTGCCTTAAGTTGAAATCCCCCAGGGCAAGATGTTGGGTGCAGGAGCTGGAAGATTTTCCAGACAGTGGTCAATTTTTAACAGCTGTTCCTGAATTGCTGGGAAGTTGCATCCGGAGGCTTGTAGACTACCACAATGACTAGGTTTTGGTTCTCGACCTTTACTGCTAAAACTTCCACTACGTCATTTGAGGCATTAAGCAGTTCTGTGCAAACAAGTGACTCTGCAATGTACAGGCCAACCCCCCCCTTTTGCCTGTTCACTCTGTCACATCTGTATAGGTTGTAACCTGGGATCCATATTTCGTTGTCCAAGTGATCCTTTATGTGGGTCTCAGTGAAAGCCGCGAACATTGCCTTTGCCTCTGCAAGCAGTCCACGGATGAAAGGTATTTGTTGTTTGTTGCTGGCTTTAGACCTGTATATTTGCAAAGAAGAATGTTATCGACTGGTGGTATTGTTGGTACTGGGGGGGGATTTTTTTTCCGGCATTAGTATCTGTATCTGTTGGTTTGGAGTGGAGGCCATCGACTGTGGTTCCACTCCAGGAATGACTGGATTTGGTGTACGATTTCTGCCATTTCCTGCCAGTTTTTTTTTCTTCCTGGCACTAAAAACCTCTCCCTCTGAGTGTCTGTGGCTACCCAGGTTTTCCCATGGCCTGGATGTTTTGTATCTTTTTGTCCCCTTTAGATGGTTGCCTGGCAATTTAAGTTATAGCACAGTCTTTCCTGTACTGAAGAGGTACACATTTCAGGGTGAAAAAGCTTACAGGAAGGGAGTTTGCATTTTCCTGTTGTCATATGGACATGACATTTCTAGGGTGGTCATAGTTGCATGTCCCATCTGTTTTTCCAGATTTCCCATGCCAGCAGATACCAAGTGCATAGTATGTGCACAGGCTTGGTTTTCCGTTTGCCTTGGGTTTCTGTGACTGTATTCCCTGTTGGTGCATGTTTCCCTGCTTATTCCTATCCTCCCTAGCACCAACAATGGAGCTCCCACCAGTTGTTTTTGGTAATTTATCCTCACTATTGCTATTGGAGTCCTCTTGTTTGCTATTTCCTGCGGTATTTCTTGTTTGCAATATTGGTTTTATCTTATCTTTGACTACATTGTTTCCCTACTATGGCTCCTGTCTTCTATGAGGTCATTTATATGTATTCCTTCCTGCGTATAATTCCCGACTACCTGGACAAAATCTCAGCTTCACCATTACTGTCTCCCAGGACAGTATCTCCAGCTTCACCATTTCTGTCTCCCAGGACAGCACCTCCAGCTTCACCATTACTGTCTCCCAGGACAGCACTATCAGCCCCACATTTACTGACTACCAGGACATCACCTCCAGCTTACAGTTTGTGACTACATGGCCATGTATCAAGGGCAGTACCATTCAGCCCAGACTTTTTATGTTCCCATCTGTTGTAGAAAGCTTCCAGGTTTTCTATGAAAGCAGCTTTGATGTTGTCCTCTTTTAATACCCTTGTGATTTTAGTCCACAGATTTTCCTCATTTGGGCATACCCAAAAACACTTCTCTGTTTTAATACTGCTTGTAGCTAGTTCTGGGATATCTGCACAAGGAGCGTGACACCAATTTCCACAAAAATGACAATTTATCCATGTGGAAGCCCGTTTGTTTGACTGACCACAGACTCACACAGCTTCATAATGATGTGAATGGTTGATTTACTGCAATTCTACTAGCAACCTCTTGAATATTATATTAATAACCTTAAATGAGCTCTAGCTATTGTATTTCTGTTTCTAACTCTTTTGTATATTGGACAGCTTACCGTCACGTTCCTGATTTTTAATGTTTGTGTTTATAAGGGCGCCTACAAACCCATCGTTTACAGTCTGCTTTATTGTCCAACGAAACTGTTTGAAACCAGTCCCGGGTTCGGACAGTCAAGGGTTCGGACCAGTCGATCTGCTCTGATCAGTGGGTCACTTATTTAAAACATACTGGTCGGTGATTTGAGCTAACACATGAAGGATCTACTGGAAATTATCTACCCGAGTAATATGTGATTTGACTGATACAAAAGTATAACTTGCGTGTTGAAGAGCCGGTGATATCTGGCAGCTCCTACAATGACGTACAGTCGACCTCTTTGTTTATCAATCGCTGTATCTGGCTTTTCTATTTTTGTTTTTTCCGTCTCCACCACAATAAATGCTATATTATCACTATATTGACTGGTGCAAATTTTGGAGGAAGGACGCTTTTTCTGTAGTAATAATTGCTTCTCGTTGTGTATATTGCGACCGCTGGTAACTACAGGTTATATGAAATTCACAGTAACGTCTCGTATTTCAAGAAAAGAAACTTATGAAAGTCACTCCACTCCACTAAGTACCATAATAATACTGGTTAGTTGCTACTACAACACTGTTTCTGCTATTCACATGGTATCATAGATTATATGCGAGTACACTAGCAAGCCAGGAAGATTATTAAAAACAGCTGACCTGTGGTAAGTTTCTGGCGACTTCTGGCACCTGCCTCTATAGGCTTATCACTTCATTTACAAATTCACCTGTTTTCAAATGACACTTTAGCCTTTATCTCATTATACTAGGGAGCCACTGTAGTATACACTATACACTATGTATACTCATGCTTTCAGGGAGACTTTCTTTCCTCTGACACAAAGTTCAATTATTATTATTTTTTTCACACGGGAAACAGGCCTATGATTCCCCTCTGGCAGTAAACTCTGCTAGGTAATGCACACTAATTCTCCTTTTTTGACTCAGTATATAATGTTTTCCGCCCAAGATTGGTTCCAGGCGCTAGAGGGATGTATCGTATAGGATTGATGACACAAAATAAAGTTCTAGCACGTAAGAGCGACCGTGAAAACAAGAGAAAAACCGGGACAACGAGGCACGCTGACAGTCACGCTAAGCTCATAATCTCTTTTTGCTTTTCTAATTCCCTTTTTTATTTCTCTCTTTAACACCAAGACAAGACAAGAGGTCCACTTCTGCACCAGCTTGACAAATGTCCGTTCTCACTAGGATACTTGTCCTCATCTACTTTGCCTGCCGGGCACGTAGCAGGAGGGGTACCGGTTATCGGCTTACTTTTAGCTAGCTCCATTTTGTCCACTCTGCGGATAATTCTCTAACGATTTTGATGGGAAGCCGGTTACTAAACTCAGGTGTGGGTGTGGGCATCGCGCTCTGCTGGTGCTTGGCAAGGTGGTCCACCTGATCTAATTGGGAACTTCTAGTTTCTATTTCTATTTACAAAGGAATCCTTGTTCCTTTTTCTTTCATGGCCCAGGTTTGGGCAACAAATCTTCGCAGTATGTTTTTGTAATCTGTTAAGTTTAGACTGCCCGTAATGCCAAGGCATGATAGTGGCTCTCTTTGCACTACATATCATTGTAAACCCTAACTGTAAACTACCTATGTATATATACTTCCTACATTATGTCAACCACATTGTAAACTTGCAAGGAAATAAAAATCTGAATCTGAATCTGAGTACATCGGGAAACCGGACTCGATACTGCGTAAGCCGTCAGTGACCCTGATAAACCCAACAAGAAAAAGAAAGAAGTCTGTGGGACACGTTGAAGAGAAGAAACCTCTGGGCAAACTGTAGGCATCCTGAAGCAGAAACTGCAAGTGTTGTAAGGAAGCATGGCAGGTCCACAGAAAAGAAAGAGGCACCACAAAGGTGACACTCACCTTAAAAAAAGATGGAGGACTAGAAGACGCACCAAGGATCTGGACCAGGTTCGACATGTTCTGTTCCAGAGTGCAAATTCCGTGTCTTCAGCCTGTTTTGTAGGAAAGGTTTCTAATATGTGAGATCAACCTCGTTATCTCTGCATATTTTCCAGCACATTTAGGTCCATTTTGTAATATGGAGGTCAGAACAGAACAGGGCAATCCAAAGATATTTAAAAATTGAAGTATAACTTTAGGATGTCTTATTTATACTCTTTGGTATGAAACCAAGAATTTAGTATCTTTATTGCAAGCATTTATGCACTGTTGCCTTGGCTGTTAATTTTGGCTTGTGCTACTAGGTCAGATGCCGTGCTCCTTCTTTAAGTGAATGTGACCTGACCTGACTAGGTTTGGGCATTGGCTTTAGCCGGTAGGAGACTTGGACCTGCCTTGTATGGGCCAGTAGGCCTTCTACAGTGTTCCTTCTTTCTTATGTTCTTAGAACTCCTAAATCTTTTTCACATTTGGTCTGACTAAACTCTACATAATTAATCTTATAAATCCCGTAGTTATTTTCTTTTTCTAGGACTAGAACCTCACATGTGTCTGCATTGACCTGCATCTACCACTTCTCTTACCACATCATCATCTTCAACCAGATGATCTTATAACTTTCTAGTATCTTCTTCGGATATGTGATGACCCATTTTTAGTAATGTTAATAGCAGATCTATTTTTGGTGTAATTTATTCTGTCATCTATGTCATTTATGTAGATTGTGAGCAACAAGGGTCCCAGTACTGACCCCTGTGGAACACCACTGTTTTCTCCCCACTTATGCACGCTCTCTGTTACCTATTGATCATCCATGACATGACCCAGGAGATATTTTTTATTACACAAACAAATTTGCAGGCCAAGAGCTCTTATTCTACCTCATCTCATTTCAAAGTCCAACTATATATAGAGTACACTAACACCCATTGGTATGCAATCCACAACAGTTGTGTAACACCCAGGTACTGTACCTACTTCTAGGTGAAAAGGGACAGCAGGTGTAAGGAAACATGCCCAGTGTTTCCACCCATGTCAGGGATCAAACTACAGTTCCTCAGTGTTTGAGTTGTGGACACTTTCAAGTGAGCCACAGGATCTCCTCCTGTATCATGTGCCACTTCTTTCTTCATTAGTTTCCTATGTGGAACTCTGTTAAAGGTCATATACACAATATTGCATTCTTTTTCTTGATAAACTGCACTGAAGTGAGAGACCAGTAAATTTATACAGCAAGACCACCCCTTTGTAAAACTATGAGATTTGTTGATCAAATTATATCTTTTAAGGACAAAGGTAGCTTTGAATTGCATCTGCAGTTATTAATTTCACCAGCTTTCTCACAATTGAGGTTAAGCTGATTAACATATAATATGAACCTAAGAGCATATTTACCACCTTGTGAATGGGTATCGCATTTGCCATTTTCCACTTACCAGTATGATACCCATCTATAGTAACCTGTTACAGAGACTAGTTCTCTTTACATTTCTTTACAACTGTTGAAAATGTCTCATTAGGGCCAAGTGGCTTTGGTTTCAATCTGCTGTATTTAGTTGTCTTAAGACCATGCCCCTTGTGACTTTGATCTTGCTAAATTTATTCTCATCCTGTCCTGTGTAATTATTGATGTCCGGTAATTTCAATATTATCCTCTTGTCCATGGTTCTTCATCACTAACAGTAAGCAGACTTGATTTACATTTAAGAACATAAGAATGGAGGAACACTGCAGAAGGCCTACTGGCCCATGCAAGGCAGGTCCTTGTCAAAATGACCTCTACCCAAGAACATGTTCCTGTACCCAATGACACAAATCAAACCCAGCCCCTCCCACTCATATATTTGTCCAATCTTTTTTTAAAGCCACCCAAGGTCCTAGCCTCGAACACTCTACTGGGAATGTGTGTGATGAATGGTTTGAAAAACTGACAAGTTGAAGATTGAGACACTTATACAACATATGGGAATCTTTATTCAGGAAATGTTTTGCCACACAGTGGCTTCATCAGTCCAGTACAAAGTAGAAAGGTGTAAGGAGAGGAGGAGTTTGAGGTAATCAGTCCCTCAGCCCTATATACAGTGGAACCCCAGTTTTCATCCTGTTCAAATATCCTACAATTCGGATTTCGACCACTTTTTCTGGCAAATTTTTACCCCAGGTTTCGTACATCCACTCGGAAATTGTCTGTACCAGACACGTCCGCATGGGCCGCTCATACGTTTGTGTTACTAATACATAATAATAATCGCTCTTGTGCACATTAAATGTCTTATTTTAAGTTAATATAGACATTTTCATTAATCCATCTGTGATATTTTCTTTAAAATTATATAAGAAACACGTTACATAGCATATAAACATGCAGTGTTTATATGCTATGGAGGTGTGCTAGCCAGGCAGAGGGAAAACATTACCTTTTCTCTGGTCCAGTATCAGAGAAAATGCGTATGAATCTGTGTTGGCCTAGTCACTGCCCTTAATACATAACGCTTTTGTTTACAATTCTCGGCATGAATAATTCATTACTTCTACCTTTGTTTATGATGGCATCTAAAAGTAGTTGTTAGAAATTATAAAACTCAGTGAACATGGTAGGTCGATGGTAATAATATGGCTCTGGGCCGCATTAAATACACCTACCATCCGACTTACGACCGAGTTCGGTTCCGAGAAACTGGTCGTAAGTCGAAATGGTCGTAAGTCGAACTTTACTACTGAATATCAACATCACGTTTTTGTAATGACTTTATTTTATTGTTTTATTTTGGTATTTCATATTTTACTTTACTTTTTATGCTGTTAGTACTGTATTTTATACTGTAAGGTTTAGGATAAACACTGTGTACAACACAAATAGTTGTTTATTTCCCAGAAATTTGGCATAAAAAACACGGTCGTAAGTCGAGTGGTCGTAAGTCGAGCAGGTCGTAAGTCGGATGGTAGGTGTATCATGTAGCTAGGATATGGAAGAGTTGGTGGAGAAATATCACTTTAACAAAGCTGTTGCAAGCTGTGTCTGCATGGTCCAGTGACTCAAGCTGGTCCTAGTGCCAGTAAAAGACAAAGAGGGAAGTAACCCCGGATAGGGCTTTGATTCTTTGTCCTTATGGAGGGGGATTCTCCTTCCAAGCAATAACCTCTCCCCTCCTCGCTGTCTTCCATATGCCAATAAGTCTCTTCAATAAAGGTAAAAATTATTTAAATGTTCATTTATCCATTAAAATTAGTTATATATAATTATATCTCATTGTTTTCTGTACGTAAAACTATAGTTATTCTCTATAAAATGTATTTTTTGTTAATATTTTTGGGTGTGTGGAACGGATTAATTGGGTTTATATTATTTCTTATGAGAAATATTACTTCAGTTTTCATCCATTTTGGATTTCGACCTACCTTCTGGAACGGATTAAGGACGAAAAACCGGGTTTCCACTGTATTTGAAGAAACTCGTGTGGGTTGGTCGTTGATTCCCTCACAACCTAAATTTCATATCTTTTGGCTTTCTTTATTTTTTTTTTATTTTTACTTCTCTTGGTCAGTACAGTGACCCTTTCCTCTTTTTGATTCTCCTGTAAGTGCTTTTTTTTTTTTTTTTTACCTAACAGATGTTTTAGCTTACTGTGACTAGTTAATGGTCCAAATTGGACTGAAACAGTCATAAAATTCATTCTTTTATGTGTGGGTTATTTGTGTATTCTTCCAGTCACAGTATTGTGCCTTTTCATTCTTCATCCATTTATGGCTTTTTCTATTTGATCTAATTTCTCTATTAGGAATATATGCAAATTGGACAGCTTGTATTATTATTATTATTTATAATCAAAAAGAAGCGCTAAGCCACAAGGGCTATACAGCAAGGACAGCTTGTACATTTGCAAAAAAAAAAAAAAAAAAAAAAAAAAAAAAAAAAAAAAAATCATATTGACATTCATCACCACCAACTATGTGGCCTCTCTCATGATAACCTGTAGCCAGGTTACACTAGTCTACATATTTACATAATCCCTTTGTGCAAAAATTAGGAACCTTGACTTATCATTGACAAGGGAATTCCATAATATATTAAAACTAAGTGATTTGTGATAGCATTCTCCACGCTCTTAAGGATCATTTATTAGAGAATCCTTGTTTGACAGAATCAAGTTTACCTGGAGAGGGTTTCAGGGGTCAATGCCCCCTCGGTCCAGTCTGGGTTCAGCAGGTTATTTCTCTAGTAAGCTCTGACACAAACTGTATTAACCCTTTGAGGGTTTTCGTCGTACTAGTACGTTTTACGCGTAGGGGTTTTTGACGTACTAGTACGTACTCATAAATTCTAGCGGCCTCAAATCTAGTGGGAGAAAGCTGGTAGGCCTTCATATGAAAGAATGGGTCTATGTGGTCAGTGTGCACAGTCTAAAAAAAATCCTGCAGCACACAGTGCATAATGAGAAAAAAAAACTTTGACCATTTTTTTTTAATAAATCAGCGACTTTGCAGTGTATTTTCGTATGGTATTTATTGTTGTATTCTAGTTTTCTTGGTCTCATTTTATAGAATGGAATACATATTACAGAAATTGAGATGATTTTGACTGGTTTTACAAAGAAAGGTGCCTTGAAATTGAGCTCAAAGTAGCAGAAATGTTCGATTTTTACCAAACTTCAAAAGTAAACAAATCGTGCCAAGCGTGCAATACACGTCAACTGGTGAGTCTAATATTCTTTCACAAGTGCACCAATAATATTTATACCATTTTTTACACTAATGCAGTAGTCTGCATAACAGTAAATCTTATATTTTTTGTGAAAATAAAAATTCAAAGTGGAAAGCAAAAGAATATAAGAGGGGACTTGAGACATGACTAATGACTAGAGGAAATGTCATTTTAGTGCCAGGAATGTCTTTCTTGTTTATTCTGGACCCTATTCAGAAATTGGCATCTTTTGAAATTTGTGTGAAATTGGCAAAATTGCTAAATTCTGACCACTGTACTGGATAGTTGAATTTCATAAATGAGTGGTTTCTTGCATCCATTCGATAGAAAAAATGGAGTTCTAGCGAAATATTCATGTTTTTTGTCGACTAGTACAGTGAAATTGGCCGAAAATGGGGCTCAAAGTGGGCAAAATCGCCGATGCGTAAACATCGCCGAGACCGCTAACTTTGCGAGAGCATAATTCCGTAAGTTTTCTATCAAATTTCAAACTTTTGGTGTCTTTATGATCGGGAAAAGATTCTCTATCTTTTCATAAGAGAAAATAATTTTTTTTTTTTTTTAAATTTGGCTGACCCTGAGAACGAGTTTCGGAGAGGGCCTGTCGACCCTCAAAGGGTTAAAAGAAAACAACCCTGGACTATTTCTAGAAATTTCTTATATCACACTTAAGATTTTTTCCATCCCCTTGCAGCCAAACAGATTCTGTGTCAGTCCTCTCCTCCTCTTTGTTGTTGCTGATGCCGAGATTAAATTTTTGCTAACATGCACAGCAACTCCACTCCTATTTGCCTAGAATATAACTGTGTACTGTAACTCTATTGTACAACCCTCTTAATACTGGAAAATTTACATAGTATTACCTCATTTTTTTTTTGTGTGTGAATATAATCCTAGGTACTTAAGAGTACTGTACCCAGTCAAGGACTTGACTTGCTACAGTACACTGTATTTAAAATTTTGCTTTATTCCTTGTGACATGCAAATCTTAGTCCGACAGTGCTGATTAGTGATATACAAGAATATACAGGAATATACAATTCAACCCAAATAAGATGATTTATTTTTTGATGGGTCCTTTTGTATTGAGGCATATATGCCATTCTTGTGTTGAACGAATAATAATACTGTAGGTATTCAAACAGTAAAGGATGTTAAAATTACAAAGCAACATTGTATATTGTATATAAAATATTGTATACAGAATTTATTAAGCTTATTATTATTGTATTTAGGAGAAGCACTAAACCCATAAGGGGGTCCATAAAGCAAATGCAGAATGGAAAAGAGTCAGGTTTGGTCCAGGGAAGGGTACAACACTTATAATTCCTTGAATCAAGAGCCCCTCACCAACATCAATAAGTCTCCATAGATGGGTGTACCATGATGAGCAGGAGTAACTTGGTGGCACTTTTAACTTTGGCAATTTAAGATTTTCTGATGTGTGTTCTTGTTTGCTTCTTAGATTGATGAGGATCTTCAAATTGAAAATGCATCCAAGTTATTGCACCAAGAAATTGATGATGATAAACCAGGATCAGGACAACACTATTGTCTTCATTGTGCGTAAGTAGTATGAAAGTGGACAAGATCAAAGCTAATTTCTTGATTGGATGATGTATTAAGGTCATCAAAGGACAGATAGCCCTTCAGATAGTAAAGTCATAAACCTATGTGAGTCAGTCAAATAATATGGAGGGTCAGTCCTCTGATCTAAGGACAGAGGGCAAGGAGTAAGGTACTGTGTAAGTAACATAACATACAGAAAAATCACCTGTGGAAATAAAAGCAAACCTCAGTATAATAGAGCACAGTGCAGAAATACCAGAGCAAACAAGACACATGCATGATTATGACGTGCAATACCTGGGATACCCAGATGTTACACAAGTCATATTTATCAGCTTGTCATTGTTTATCTTAAGTTTGAGTTTGAATACAGGAGGGTTCCACTTATAGAGCAGGTTAGATTCTGGGGCTACTGCTGTAAAGCAGAACCTTTTTTTCACTTTCAAATGCATATAAAATCATGATAGTATATACATGTTATAAAAATAAGGAGCAGTAGAGCTAGGCCTAAATATACATATACATTACACACACTACTCTTAAAATATTTTCATCCTTAGCTTATAGAGAGTGGTGCATATGTATTTATTGTAGGAAGTATGAATAAATAAAGAATGGGTATAACTGAAAAACCACTGTATTAACGAAATGCTGTAAAGTGGGGTCAGCCTGTATAGAAAAGAGCAAGGTGATGAGGGTTACAAAAAATTTGGGCAATAATAGATTGAAGAGGAGTAGGAAGTGTGGAGAAGTGGATGCATTTAGATACTATATGGAAGTGAACATGCCAGCAGATGGGTCTATGAAAGTTGAAGTGAACCAAAGAATAGAGGAGAGAAAAAAAGGTGGTGTAGTGAGGTATTTCTGGAAAGAAATTTATGGAGGCAAGAAAAGGTAATGTACCAAAGCATAGTGGTATGAACACACACAGGTGTGAGGAATAGGTTTGGAATGGTGCAACAAGGCGGCTAGAAGCAGTGATGTCACATTGGAGAGCAATGTATGGTGTGAATATCATCCATAGAATTCAGTGTAGAAATTAAAAAAGGTAATACAGTGGTACCTTGAGTTACGAGCAGCTCCCAACTCTAACAATTATGTGTAAGTGTATTTTTGGGGGTCTGAAACGGATTAATCTAGTTTTTATTATTCCTTATAACAAATTCGTTCGGTATCGGCACTCGAACAGCCTTCTGGAATGAATTAAGCTTGTAACTCAAGATACCACTATACTGGGTCCCCAAGGATGTAATCCAAGAGGGCTGATGAAATGTTGAGGTAGTTTGGGTATGGAGAAGGATGGGATGATGAATGGGGTGAAAGATAAGAGGGATAGAGGTCACCCCTAGGAACAATTGTAGGGATGGGATAGGAAGCTTTGAGTTGGATGGGGCTGAGCACCAGCAGGCTTGTATCAGATGGTAATGTGACTTGCGACATCAGCAGAGTTCTAGCAAGACAGTGATTGAATGAATTAAGGTGAATTTATGTTCTTATTTGGGTTACCTTGGCGGGAGATGGCCACTGAGGGAAAAAAAAAAAAAAAAGTAAATGTACATGTAACATTTTTTCTTTTTTTTTTCAGTCGGTACTTTATTACTTCAGAAGCTCTTAAAAGCCACTTCCGAACTAAAGTTCACAAGCGACGACTTAAGGCTTTGGAAATTGAACCTTACACAATTGAGGAGTCTCAGAGGGCAGGTGGCCTTGGGTCATACATTCACCCCAAGAAACGCACGATGGAGACGCAGCCTGTAGATGATGAAACTTTTGACCCCAGTAAGGATGTCGATATGAAATAACGTAGTGTACATTGCAAATTCTCCATGAGGAGATGGAGAAGAATTCTTCCTTTGTAATCTATGCATGTCATAAGAGGTGATTAAAACACTGGGAGCAACAGGCTAATAACCCCTTCTGTATAAATTGCTAAATGTAATAAAAACTTTTGTTCTTTTTACAAGGAACCCTGCCTTGGGAGATAGTGAACAAACACCAGAACACATTTATCAGAAAATGTTTTGGTCCTGGAGCCAAAAGTGATCAAGGTGCCCAGGATCAAAACTTTTTAATATGTCCCAGTGTTTCTTCAGTCATTTAAAACCACTTTGTTGGTACGAGTTACCAAGGTTTGTATCGTGTATAATACTATTTTGTGCAGACATTAAAATTATAGCCTTTACTGTATGTTTTTTAATCATCTGTATTAAGAGGAATGATGATGTGAAGAGAGTAGAGTAAGGGAGAAAAAGTTAGCATATGAGAAGTTTTTACAAAGTAGAAGTGATGCAAGGAGGGAAGAGTATATGGAGAAAAAGAGAGAGGTTAAGAGAGTGGTGAAGCAATGTAAAAAGAGAGCAAATGAGAGAGTGGGTGAGATGTTATCAACAAATTTTGTTGAAAATAAGAAAAAGTTTTGGAGTGAGATTAACAAGTTAAGAAAGCCTAGAGAACAAATGGATTTGTCAGTTAAAAATAGGAGAGGAGAGTTATAAAATGGAGAGTTAGAGGTATTGGGAAGATGGAGGGAATATTTGGAGAAATTGTTAAATGTTGATGAAGATAGGGAAGCTGTGATTTCGTGTATAGGGCAAGGAGGAACAACATCTTGTAGGAGTGAGGAAGAGCCAGTTGTGAGTGTGGGGGAAGTTCGTGAGGCAGTAGGTTAAAATGAAAGGGGGTTAAGGCAGCCGGGATTGATGGGATAAAGATAGAAATGTTAAAAAGCAGGTGGGGATATAGTTTTGGAGTGGTTGGTGCAATTATTTAATAAATGTATGGAAGAGGGTAAGGTACCTAGGGATTGGCAGAGAGCATGCATAGTTCCTTTGTATAAAGGCAAAGGGATAAAAGAGAGTGCAAAAATTATAGGGGATAAGTCTGTTGAGTATACCTGGCAAAGTGTATGGTAGAGTTATTATTGAAAGAATTAAGAGTAAGACAGAGAATAGGATAGCAGATGAACAAGGAGGCTTTAGGAAAGGTAGGGGGTGTGTGGACCAGGTGTTTACAGTGAAACATATAAGTGAACAGTATTTAGATAAGGCTAAAGAGGTCTTTGTGGCATTTATGGATTTGGAAAAAGGCGTATGAACAGGGTGGATAGGGGGCAATTGTGGCAGATGTTGCAGTGTATGGTGTAGGAGGTAGGTTACTGAAAGCAGTGAAGAGTTTTTACGAGGATATTGAGGCTCAAGTTAGAGTATGTAGGAAAGGGGGAAATTATTTCCCAGTAAAAGTAGGCCTTAGACAAGGATGTGTGATGTCACCGTGGTGGTTTAATTTATTTATAGATGGGGTTGTAAGAGAAGTAAATGCGAGGGTCTTGGCAAGAGGCGTGGAGTTAAAAGATAAAGAATCACACAAAGTGGGAGTTGTCACAGTTGCTCTTTGCTGATGACACTGTGCTCTTGGGAGATTCTGAAGAGAAGTTGCAGAGCTTGGTGGATGAATTTGGTAGGGTGTGCAAAAGAAGAAAATTGAAAGTGAATACAGGAAAGAGTAAGGTTATGAGGATAACAAAAAGATTAGGTGATGAAAGATTGGATATCAGATTGGAGGGAGAGAGTATGGAGGAGGTGAATGTATTCAGATATTTGGGAGTGGACGTGTCAGCGGATGGGTCTATGAAAGATGAGGTGAATCATAGAACTGATGAGGGGAAAAGGGTGAGTGGTGCACTTAGGAGTCTGTGGAGACAAAGAACTTTGTCCTTGGAGGCAAAGAGGGGAATGTATGAGAGTATAGTTTTACCAACACTCTTATATGGGTGTGAAGCATGGGTGATGAATGTTGCAGCGAGGAGAAGGCTGGAGGCAGTGGAGATGTCATGTCTGAGAGCAATGTGTGGTGTGAATATAATGCAGAGAATTCGTAGTTTGGAAGTTAGGAGGAGGTGCGGGATTACCAAAACTGTTGTCCAGAGGGCTGAGGAAGGGTTGTTGAGGTGGTTCGGACATGTGGAGAGAATGGAGCGAAACAGAATAACTTCAAGAGTGTATCAGTCTGTAGTGGAAGGAAGGCGGGGTAGGGGTCGGCCTAGGAAAGGTTGGAGGGAGGGGGTAAAGGAGGTTTTGTGTGCGAGGGGCTTGGACTTCCAGCAGGCATGCGTGAGCGTGTTTGGTAGGAGTGAATGGAGACAAATGGTTTTTAATACTTGACGTGCTGTTGGAGTGTGAGCAAAGTAACATTTATGAAGGGGTTCAGGGAAACCGGCAGGCCGGACTTGAGTCCTGGAGATGGGAAGTACAGTGCCTGCACTCTGAAGGAGGGGTGTTAATGTTGCAGTTTAAAAACTGTAGTGTAAAGCACCCTTCTGGCAAGACAGTGATGGAGTGAATGATGGTGAAAGTTTTTCTTTTTCGGGCCACCCTGCCTTGGTGGAAATCGGCCAGTGTGATAATAAATATTTTTTTTTTTATGGGGGTACCTCAAAGTCAGTAAACCTAATTACCTTCCCAGGCATTGTATAACCCCTATGGGTTTGGCACTTCCTCATAAAAATATGCTGATCAGTCTACCTATGTTCTTATTGAAGTAGAGAGTTTATAACATTGTTAAAGTATCATTCTTAATTGTTGTTGCCATCATGTGAGAAGTAAAAGATTAATCGCATGTATAATTTATTTTTTTGACATGTCAGCATACAGCATGCATGAGCATGTTAGATTGGAGACAAATGATTTTTAGGACTTGACATGCTGTTGGAGCATGAGCAAGGTAACATTTATGAAGGGATTCAGAGAAACTGGCAGGCTGGACTTGAGTCCTGGAGATGAATTAGTGCCTGCACTCTGAAGGGGTGTTAATGTTGCAATTTTGTAACTGGAGTGTAAGCACACCTCTGGCAAGACAGTGATGGAGTGAATGATGAAAGTTTTTTTTGTTTTCAGGCCACCCCTGCTATGGTGGGAAACGGCCAGCGACTCCTAGAATAATACTCTGGCATATAAAGTAATCAATATTCTAAGGTAGTTCACATAGGTAGCATGTGAAATAATGTCAATGTGAATACATTAAAAATGTTTTTATTTCTTAGTCATTCACTGGAAACAAAATTAGATTAATGATCCCCAGCCTAGTATATATCTGGGGAATCTATCCTATCCTTAGGGAAAAAATAATAAAATAGATAATTTACAATCAACAGTGATAGAATAAGTACAAATACATAAACATACAATACAGTATTTACATTTACCTGACCCTAACCGTTCATAAAATTATGCACAAACAAAGAGCAAATTATATACTGTGATTTCTGTTTTTCTGGAAAATATTTAGAAATTTAGTGATGGTGAATATGTTTTCCATCTCCTTTTCTTGGTAAGAAACTATGCAAAAAAAAAAAAAAAAAAAAAAAAAAAAGTGTACAGGTCCCAGAAGGTGCAGTACTTTGAACTAAATATAGTCATTAGTAATAGGTAATTAAATCTGGTAGTAGTGTATGGAAGTCAAGGATCAGCCTTGTACAGCTTGGCGCCTTGTCTTGCCAGTTTGTCAGCCATTTCATTACCTTCAAGGCCATCATGGCCTTTTACATGCACCTGAAAAAAAATACTGCATTTTTAACCAAGTTTGTTAGTCTGCTACATTATACTAACTATACAGTAAATCCTCAATGGGCAAAATTCATCAAGGAAATTTTACAGTAAACACTTGATATAATGAACTAATAGGGAGATATTTCCAAGTGTCCATTAAATCAGGATGTTAAAAAATAGCAATAAAATACACTAAAGTACTCTATTGTATACCTAATATAGTACTGTACACAATTTATAGGTGCCTTGATGCTATTAATGGGCTCTTGATCAAAATTAGGTCAACCCTCCCATTCCTTAGATCAAATGCAATTACTTTCCATTTTCCAGACACTATACCCATGAATATAATAACTACTGTGTTCAACACTAAATCTGTGGATATTGGGCACTACATGTGTAACCATGTTAATACCTACCCACTTTACAGCTAATCCTTCACTGGCTGCATCTAAAGTGATGAGGTCTTCCTTGTTCTTCACTGGCTCTCCATCGCTCTTCACCCAGTTCTTTTTCTTCCAGTTCTTAAGCCAGGAAGTCATACAGTTAATCATGAACTGAGAATCTGTGTGCACTGCCACTTTGCTGAATCCTGTAAATGTGAATACTAAGAACTAACATGTCATTTTTTTAATGTCAGTATCCCCTTCATTTTACAGTGGTGAACCCCCTTGGGTTTAGCATTTTCTATGAATATAGTACATTAATAATAATAGTAATAGATTAGGTTCACTGACAAGCATTGTAAAAATATTGGAAAATGAGAAAAAAAAAATTAATGAAAAGCACCTAAAACACAGAGGAATAATCCATGCCCAATAAAAAATTGGCTTTCGGGTCTGAAAATTCGTGTACATCAAATTTATTATATTACTATGTCATAAAAATTGGTCAAGAAAAAAGGGATAGGCAGATTTTATTTAAGGCTAATAGGATTTTTTATAGCATTCTTAAGAGGAAAATGCCAACAACGATTACAGGAAAATGGTCCTCGTGGGGAAATGTTACCTGCTGGGTCCCAAAAGGGTCTGTACCTGGCACTTTCCCTTCAAGTTTAGCACTCAATTTGATGATGGTAATACAGTGGACCCCTGCCTTACGATGGCATTGCGTTACGTTAAATCTGCCATACGATACATTTGAACGCAAAAATTTTGCCTCGCCTCACGCGATTCGCCTGGGATGCGTCCCACGTGTGGCCTCAACACCAGTGTTTACAAGCCAGCCAGTGCGGTCGCATCCATGCATACATTCGGTACATTTCACCTTATTCCAGTGTTTTTTGTGCTTTTAACTGCAAAGTAAGTCACCATGGGCCCCAAGAAAGCTTCTAGTGCCAACCTTGTGGTAAAAAGGGTGAGAATTAGTATGGAAATTAAGAAAGATTTTGAAGGGTTTGGGGATAACCCTGAGAAGCCTATGCCAGTTGTGGAATCCATTATGCCTACTTCAAAGATTAAGGAAATGTGTGCAAAGTGGGTTAAACTGCAAGCCGTGCTGGTGACTATTACATGACAATGTTGTGGCCCATTTTAGGCAAATCTTTAAGGAACGGGAGGTACAGACCTCTATGGACAGGTTTGTTGTGCGACAGAGGTCCAGTGACTCAAGCTGGTCCTAGTGGCATTAAAAGAAGGGAAGTAACCCCAGAAAAGGACTTGATACCTCAAGTTCTAAAGGAAGGCAATTCCCCTTCTAAACAATAACAACTTCCACACTCTCCCCCTCCTCCCATCCCATTAATCATTACCAGATCTTCAATAAAGGTAAGTGTCGTATTCTATTCTTAGTAGAGTATTAATTGTGCATGTCTTCTTAAGTTTGTGTGTATTAAAATTAATATTTCATGTGGTAATTTTTTTTTTTCAGACTTTTGGGTGTCTTGCATGGATTAATTTGATTTCCATTATTTCTTATGGGGAAAATTAATTCGTCTTACGATAATTTCAGCTCACAATGAGCTCTCAGGAACGGATTAAGATCGTAAGGCGGGGGTCCACTGTAATAACAATAAAAATAATAATAATATTTTTCTTTTAACAGTGGCCATCTCCCACCAAGGTAGGATGATCAAAATAGAAATGCATTCACCATGATTTATCCCATCGCTGTCTTGCCAGTTTGTTACTCTCCTCACCTTGCTCTTTTCTATGTTCACTTTTAATTGCCTTCCTTTAAATATTTTCAAATTATATCTCCTGCCCTACCTCCTTCAGGGACTTAATCCCTAAAATTTGTAACGAGACGTGACTGTTTCCTCCCATCTATTATGCTTTTACCTTATATAAATGACTGACCATTACAAATAAAACATTAATTCACTTGAGAAAAAATCTTGTGCCAAATAACTTTAAATCTTCACAAGGTGATCTGAATAAATTGTGCAAATGCAGTGACAGATGGATAACGTAATTTAACGTTCATAAATACAGTGGGCCCCCGGTTTTCGTCCTTAATCCGTTCCAGAAGGTCTGTCAAAATCCGAAATGGACGAAAACCGAAGTAATATTTCCCATAAGAAATAATGTAAACCCAATTAATCCATTCCAGACATCCAAAAATATTAACAAAAAATACATTTTATAGAGAATAACTATAGTTTTACATACAGAAAACAATTTTAATGGATAAATGAACATTTAAATCACTTTTACCTTCATCGAAGACTCTTGTTGGCATATTCTTTACGAGATCCGCATGCAACTGCCTTGCCTTTTCGCAAATTATCGGCTCCACAACACTATCTCCAGCTAACTGTTTTTCGTTGCTCCACACTAGCAACAGTTTCTCAACATCTTCGATTGTTTGCCATCACAACCACCAATGTTTCAGATGAATGCACGGAGTATTGCTCACTGAACCAGTGACAGAGGCAGACTGAGTCACATGCGTGAGCAGCCGCATCCTGGGCGGGTGGGCACATCCGATAAGGACAATTTCCAAGCGGAGGTACGAAACCTGGGGTAAAATTTCTCCCCCCAAAAAAGTCGTTGAAATCCGAATTGTACGATATCCGCACCGGATGAAATCCAGATGTCCACTGTAGCATGTTATGGAAATGGCAGAAAGAAAAATCAGATCACAAAGAATATAGAATGGGTGACAAAATTTTAGGCGTATCACACAGAAGAAAAGATCTAGGAGTTATTAATATAGAATTGTTACTCAGAATACATATGCTACACAGGCTAACTACACCTTTCAAATAATACACTGATGATAAAATGCTGAAAAAGCTTTTTACTTATATTAGGCCAAAGGGTGAGTGGTGCACTTAGGAGTCTGTGGAGACAAAGAACTTTGTCCTTGGAGGCAAAGAGGGGAATGTATGAGAGTATAGTTTTACCAACGCTCTTATATGGGTGTGAAGCATGGGTGATGAATGTTGCAGCGAGGAGAAGGCTGGAGGCAGTGGAGATGTTATGTCTGAGGGCAATGTGTGGTGTGAATATAATGCAGAGAATTCGTAGTTTGGAAGTTAGGAGGAGGTGCGGGATTACCAAAACTGTTGTCCAGAGGCTGGGGAAAGGGGATGTTGAGGTGGTTCGGACATGTAGAGAGAATGGAGCGAAACAGAAATGACTTCAAGAGTGTATCAGTCTGTAGTGGAAGGAAGGCGGGGTAGGGTCGGCCTAGGAAAGGTTTGGGAGGGGGGGGGTAAAGGAGGTTTTGTGTGCGAGGGGCTTGGACTTCCAGCAGGCGTGCGTGAGCTTGTTTGATAGGAGTGAATGGAGACGAATGGTTTTTAATACTTGACGTGCTGTTGGAGTGTGAGCAAAGTAACATTTATGAAGGGGTTCAGGGAAACCGGCAGGCCGGACTTGAGTCCTGGAGATGGGAAGTACAGTGCCTGCACTCTGAAGGAGGGGTGTTAATGTTGCAGTTTAAAAACTGTAGTGTAAAGCACCCTTCTGGCAAGACAGTGATGGAGTGAATGATGGTGAAAGTTTTTCTTTTTCGGGCCACCCTGCCTTGGTGGGAATCGGCCGGTGTGATAATAAAAAAAAAAAAAAAAAAAAATATAAAGAAAATTTTCCCAATATCGTTTCTGCTCCACTTTTTCTCAGTGTTTGTGGCCTCTTGTTATCCAAGTTAAAGGTACTTAAAAATGTATTTTTTCATATAATTTTATAACCCTATATGTTAGCATGATTTTTTTTCCTCCAGTCAGCCATCCTGGGCCTCCTAAGTGATTTTAACCTTTCATAACCTTTTTTTTTCTCTCTCTCTCTCTCTCTTTTTCTAGACTCCATTTTTTAGCTCTAGACTTTTTCTCTCTGGTCCACAGGTTTTTGTGTGTGGACACAGCATAACAGCTGCATAATTTCAATTTTGGCCTATTTTTTTTTTTATTATCACACTGGCCGATTCCCACCAAGGCAGGGTGGCCCGAAAAAGAAAAACTTTCACCATCATTCACTCCATCACTGTCTTGCCAGAAGGGTGCTTTACACTACAGTTTTTAAACTGCAACATTAACACCCCTCCTTCAGAGTGCAGGCACTGTACTTCCCATCTCCAGGACTCAAGTCCGGCCTGCCGGTTTCCCTGAACCCCTTCATAAATGTTACTTTGCTCACACTCCAACAGCACGTCAAGTATTAAAAACCATTTGTCTCCATTCACTCCTATCAAACACGCTCACGCATGCCTGCTGGAAGTCCAAGCCCCTCGCACACAAAACCTCCTTTACCCCCTCCCTCCAACCCTTCCTAGGCCGACCCCTACCCCGCCTTCCTTCCACTACAGACTGATACACTCTTGAAGTCATTCTGTTTCGCTCCATTCTCTCTACATGTCCGAACCACCTCAACAACCCTTCCTCAGCCCTCTGGACAACAGTTTTGGTAATCCCGCACCTCCTCCTAACTTCCAAACTACGAATTCTCTGCATTATATTCACACCACACATTGCCCTCAGACATGACATCTCCACTGCCTCCAGCCTTTTCTTTATAGTGTTGTAATAATGTAATGAACTGAAAGTGGAGGTAATAAGTGCTAAAACCATTATAAATTTAAAAAAATTAGATATCAGTATTGAAAAAGCTAATGAACTGAGGACACCATGAGCATAGTTGTGCTCTAGTCACTACAAATGGGCAATTGCAGACTGGTGATCTGTGACTGCAGTGGTAGTGATCCATTTCTCTTTCAAGACTTCTATATTTATTCTGGCAATATTTCTATCTGGGCCATGGTTGCTGCTCAAGCCCCATGAAAAAGCTACTCATAAAAGACAAAGGGGTAGTATGCTGCTTTTCATTTGATCTTACCTGAAGCTTTTGTCAACTCCAAAGCATATGTAGCAGCCTGAATTTCTGCTGTATTATTTGTAGCTTTTCCCTTCACTGGCTCACTCACATTACTGAAACAAGATAAACCAGAATGAAATGCTTGATAAAAGTAAGAAAATTAGGACTTTAACCCTTTGACTGTCACAACCCCAAATCCAGAAGTGTCTCTGTCACATTAAAAAAAAAAAAAAAATCCTACAAAATGATAGAGAATCTTTTCCCGATGATAGTGACACCAAAAGTACGAAATTTGATGGAAAACTTACAGAATGATTCTCTTGCAAAGTTAGCGATCTCGGCGATATATACGCATTGGCGATTTAGCCCATTTTGAGCCCTATTTTCAGCCAATTCCATTGTTCCAGTCAAACAAACTCAGCTATTTCTTTAGAACTCCATTTTTTTTCTATCGAATGAGTACAAGAAATGCCCATTTACCGATTTCAACTACCCAAAAAAGTAGTCAGAAATTGGCAATTTGGCCAATTTCACACAAATTAAAAGATACCAATTTCAAAATAGGGTCCACAATAAACAATGCAGACATTCCTGGCACTAAAATAACATCTTCTCTGGTCACTGGTCACATCTCCAGGCCCCTCTTATATTATTTTTGCTTTCTATTTTGAATTTTTATTCACAAAAACTAGATTTACTGTTGTGCAGACTACTGCATTATTGTAATAACTGTATAAATAATGTCAACCCATTCATGACTGCATATCAGAATGGGTAGTTGGACATGTATTGGACAGTGATGTCATTTGTTTACTCTTGAACATAAGCAAAAATCAAACATTTCCGTTAATTTGAGCTCAATTTCAAGGTTCTTTTCATCATGAAACCATCAAAATTATCTCTGTTTCTGTAAAATGTCTTCCATTCCACAACCATAAATACTATACGAAAATACACCTCATTTCGGCGTTTTAATCCAAGAACGCAGTCTTTTTTTTCTTTCTCATTATGCACTGTGTGCTGCAGGATTTTTTTTATACTGCTCACACTGACCACACAGACCATTCTCTCACATGTGGGCCCACCAACTTTCTCCCGCTCTATTTGAAGCTGCCATAATTTTGGCATATTAATACGTAAAAACACTGGCTCGTAAGACATATTAAACGACCAAGACAGTCAAAGGGTTAAAGTTTTAACTACCCATGTTATGATTTCACTGAAAATATACAGCCAGACTGTCAGAACTGAAAAACTACATACACTGAACCCTCGTTTTCGTAATTAATCCATTCCAGAGAGCATGACTATTACTGAAATCGTAAAATTTGCGAATCCATTTTCCCCATAGGAAATAATGTAAATGCAATTAATTCATTCCAGACACCCAGAAGTATCAACAATTTTTTTTTTTTACCTTAGAGATAGATTTACATGCACAAAAGAATGAATATTCAACACGACACTTACCTTTATTGAAGGCTGTTGTTGTTGATGAATGGAAGACAGGGAGGAGGAGAGATGGAAGAGAGGTTATTGTTTGAAGGGGAATCTCCCTCCATAAGGACTCTTCAGGAGTCACTTCCCTAGCTTAAATATAGATTTACATGCAGAAAAGAATGCCAAATAAATGTAAAGCACTAATAAAACTTACAAATGAAAATTTAACATCATACTTACCTTTATTGAAGACTTTTGTTGGTGTATGGCAGAGGGAGGGGAGGGGAGGCGAGTTTATTGTTGGAGAATATGACACTAATATCAACTCTATGGCTTATTTATCTATCACAATACAACTAATATGACATAAACAATATAACATAGAAACATGGAATATACTCTAGAATGAATAAAATAAGTCATTATGAATGTCACAAGAGGTGTTGTGTTGTTGTTGGGTGTATAATGGCCACTGAGAGCATAAGCAGTCCATAATGGTGGTGAAGCAGCAGCTAAGGCAACGGTGTTTTCTGTAGCTCTATATAAGATAAGATAAGATTTCGTTCGGATTTTTAACCCCGGAGGGTTAGCCATCGAGGATAACCCAAGAAAGTCAGTGCGTCATCGAGGACTGTCTAACTTATTTCCATTGGGGTCCTTAATCTTGTCCCCCAGGATGCGACCCACACCAGTCGACTAACACCCAGGTACCTATTTGCTGCTAGGTGAACAGGACAACAGGTGTAAGGAAACGTGTCGAAATGTTTCCACCCGCCGGGAATCGAACCCAGGCCCTCAGTGTGTGAAGCGGGAGGAGCGTGAAGCGAGGAGTTGGTAGAATCGCTGAATCACTGAAGAAGGCACCCTCTACCACCATCACTACCACCTTCTACCCCTATCACAACTGCTACCACCATCACTACCACCTTCTACCACTAACATAACCACTACCACCCTCTACAACCATCACTACCACCTTCTACCACTATCACAACTGCTATCACCATCTCTACTACTATCTACCACTATCACAACTGCTAGCACCCTCTACCACTATCACATCTGCTACCACTCTACCACCACCACCGTATTTTTCTACAAACTTTTTGTTAAATTATGTGTTTTTCTCACATTCTTTACCAAAGGGCTGGCACTAGAAGCTTTCTTTGGAGCCATGGTGACTTATTTAGCAGTTGCAAATGGATTATGAAATGTATCGTATGAACTCGTGGGATCATCCTCACTCACTGATAAACAATGGCACACTGGCTGGGAATGGAGTGCGAGTCATCTCGGAGCCGAGTGTATTCGTCCCAGATGAACGACTATTTTCGAATCAAACAACGATTCCAGAGTCAATGTTTTGACGAAAATAATGTTACGATTTTTTAAAATTGCGACTTTCGAGCCTTACGATTATCGTGGGTCCACTGTACATCTCAAAGCTCTACTTATTACCGATAACACACCACACTTTGATCTTAGCCAAAAGGCCGAGATTACTGATAATGAACAACAATTTCACTTCAATTTTAAAGTAAATGAGCATGTACAACTAAGATTTACAAATGCCAAAAAAGCATAAATATTATGGTGCAAAACTTTAACTGAATATGATATACATGTACTTTAAACCATAAGTTTATACCTGCCCACCAGTGAACAAACACAAGTGTTGAATGATCTCTGTCTAACACTCCATGAATATACTGATAATGGTTAATGAAGTTGATGCATATGCCTCAAGAATCTTGTGTTGAACCCTCTGTATCTCATCTTACAGCATTACTCTCAAAATTGTAATGACACAATTGGAAACAAACCACACCACGGGCGGGGATAGAACCCATGTCGGTCTGGAATTTTATGACTTTGATCACGTGTTCTATCCTTGCCCATGTTATGGTTTGCAGCATTGTTCTTTTTTCAGGATACTGGGTCAATAAGCATGTATGGTAATTGCTATGTTGATTCTTCCTCTTCCATGAATATCCATGAACCTCCAGTTATCTCTCACTAAAGGTGATAATCTTAGAGAGATCTTGCTCAGTTAGATGCTAAGTTACATTATTTCCAGTTTCTTCTCTCTCATTACCTGCTTACATAACTTGCTCTATTCCAGATCCTGCATAGTACTATTAATTTTTAATAACAGTGTCCCACTGTCCACCATTTCCAACTTCCTGGTCTCTGAATTCTATCTTTCAATTTTTTCTCTCTTTTATACCAATATATCAAAGGAATATTAAAGAATATAGTGGAAACTGGTATGGAACAAAGATGTTTATCTCTTTATTTTCCTGTAAGCAACTTCTTATATAAAACTAATCTTGAGTGTGTCAATGAAAAACCATATGTTACTGTCAACCATGATTACTATTAACCAACATCAGAAATTTCTGGGATAATGTATGTACAATAATTCTCAAATTAATATCTGTACGGGCAAAAATAAAGTAGCAGCTAATGACCAATTCAATAATTATTTACTTATTTGTCTAAAAAAAGAAACATATAAATTATCGTACTTTTCAAATCTTTTCGGATGAAATTATGACTGTCTAGTGATTTCAAAAATCCAGAAAGTACATACACTATACATGCAACAAGTCATACTTACAGAGGATGGTCTGGTCCAAAGTATACACCAATGCCAGCTCTGGCACCATTTCTTCCATTAAATTCACATGCACCATCAGTATAAACGATGAGAAATCCATTGCTGTCAGTGGAAAATTTGGTCTTGTCTTCAGCAGAATCACCCGTGTTCAGCTTTTTCACGGTCTTTTCACTAGATTCCTCAGATGAATTATCGTCATCATCTCGCTTCCTCTTGTCAGCTGCGAAGGAATATTTATGTGAGCGTTGTATCCCTGAGATGCTGGTGTCAACACCAGATTTGTGAGCTATATAAATGTCAAACTTTGACCTTAGTTCCGATAATTCTTTCTGCAGTCTCTTCATTTGTTTCTTCATCTCCATGAGGGTTGGACTTAAGCTTCTATTGTCATTACTGCCTGTGAAAGTAATTTTTTTTCCATGTGTGACTGATGTTAGAACAGAAATTAGTACAAAGCAAACAGGCATTGCCATTACATATAGTTTATTAGCAAGCAGAAATTTATATTAATACAGTAGACCCCCGGTTTTCGTAATTAATCCATTCCAGAAGGTTGGCCAAAATCTGAAATGGCCGAAAACCGAAGTAATATTTCCCACGAGAAATAATGTAAGTCCAATTAATCCGTTTCAGACACCTAAAAATATCAACAAAAAATACATTTTATAGAGAATAACTATAGTTTTACATACAGAAGACAATGAGAAATAAATATAAATGACTAATTTTAATGATAAATGAACATTAAATACCTTTATTGAAGACTTGTTGGTGAGTAGTACGTATCTGTAGTCCCAGGCAGACTACATCCCAGTGTATACCTACCGGCTACATACACTGCGGCCTACAGCCATATTATTACCATCGACATACTGTACAATGTTCACCGAGTTTAATCGTTTCTACCAACTACCTTTAACCCCTTGACTGTCGCAACCCCCAATCCTGTGTCGTCTCCTGGTGTTGCAAAATTAAAAAAAAAAAAAAAAAAAAAAAATTCTTATGAAATGATAGAGAATCTTTTCCCGATTGTAATGACACACACACACACACACAAAAAAAAAAAAAAAAGAGGGAAAACTGACGGAATTACGCTCTCACGAAGTTAGTGACCTCGTCAAAATTTACAAATCGGCGATTTCGCCCACTTTCAGCCCTATTTTCGGCTAATTCCATTGTTCCAGTCGACCAAACTCATAGCTATTTCTTTAGAACTCCGTTTTTTCTATCAATTGAGTACAAGAAACTGCCCATTTACCGATTTCGGCTACCCAATAACGTGGTCAGAAATTTGCAATTTGGCCAATTTCACGAAAATTAAAAAATATGACAATTTCAAAATAAGGTCCAGAATGAACAATGCAGACATTCCTGGCTCTAAAATAACATTTTCTTTGTTCATCAGTCACGTCTCCAGGCCCCTCTGATATTACTCTTGCTTTCTATTTTGAATTTTTATTCAAGCAAAAAATAGAAGATTTACTGTTATGCAGACTACTGCAATATTGTAATAATTGTACAAATAATGTCAATCCATTCATGACTGCATATTAGAATGGCTAGTTGGACATTTATTGGACAATGACATCATTTGTTTACTTTTGAACATCGGTAAAAATCAAACATTTCCCCTACTTTGAGCTCCATTTCCAGGTTCTTTTTATAGTAAAACCAATAAAAATCACCTCTATTTCTGTGTGTTTTCCATTCTATCAAATGAGACCAAGAAAACGAGAATACAACCATAAATGCTATACGAAGAGAGACCACAAAGGCGGCATTTTAATAAAAGAAAAAAAAAAAAAATAACGGTCGGAGTTTTTTTTTTCTCATTATGCACTGCGTGCTCCAGGATTTTTTTATATGGTGCACACTGACCACACAGACCCATTCTCTAACATGTGGCCTACCAGCTTTCTCCTGCTTGATTTGAAGCAGCTAGAATTTACTAGTATATATATGTCAAACATGGTACCTCGTAAGACGTATATATACGACCGAAACAGTCAAAGGGTTAAATGCCATCATAAACAAAGGGAGAAGTAATGAATAATTCATGCCAAGAATTGTAAACAAAAGCTTATGTATTAAGGGTGGTTACTGGGCCAAAGCAGATTCATACCGTTTTCTCTAACGCTAGACCAGAGAAAACGTAATGTTTACCCTCCACAGCATATAAACATTGCATGTTTATATGCTGTGTAACACGTTTCTTACATAATTTTGAAGAAAATGTCATAGATAGATTAATGAAAATGTCTACATTAACCTAAAATAAAACATTTAATGTGCCCATGGGTGGGTCACAAACGTATGAGTGGCCCAGACGCACGCGTCTGGTACCAACGATTTCGGAGGGGATGTATGAAACCCGGGGGGAAATTTTGCCAAAAAAAGTGCTCGAAATCTGAATTGCACGATTTCCATACCGGCCAAAAACTGGGGGTCCACTGTAAAATGCTTAAGTATTTGTTAGTGCAAGAAAATTTGAATACAAAAAACTGTAAATGCTAGTCATATTGAAAAAAAAAATTTTAAGACTTGCAATGAAAACCATATTGGTTTGTGACTGTGAGCACTTTTAATTTCTGAGCTTTGGACTGTAAAAGAGTTAATCAGGTACATTAAATTACATGGAAGAATATGCATGCAGTACTCCAAAGATATTACAGGTAAGTTAAAGGATAAAGTTTGTGGTCTTTATATATATCCTTTAGTTAATCCATGACTTGGGAGATATTATATAATCAAGTACGACAGGCTGAGGCAAGTTTGAAGTTGAGAGTACAGGATTTAAAACGAAATTTTTTTTTCCTATTATCTATGTTGTTTAATACATCATGCCATGTAGAAATACCACAATAAAGAATGTTGCCAAGAAAATAGACCATCACATTAGTACTGGCAAAAATGGATACTGGTAGTATCAACAAGGCAGCATCACTGTAATGGGACAAGTGAAATATAAAGGGAAGATTATAGAAAATAGAGATTTGTAACTTGTAAACCTATATATGAGATGATAATACCCCTGATATAGCTGGAGACTACAGTATGTAGAGGATCTGGTAAGCAGGTGTTTTAATGGGAAAAAGGAAAAGCATGGTTAAGTATATGGAAACTACTAAATATGAAAAAAATATTCCATGGTTATATAGAATGACTACGTAAAATAATTACAAATAAATCAAAGAAATAAATACCATATTACTGTGAAACAGTAACACTGCCTTCCACTGAGGTAGGATGATCCCCCCCCTCCATAAAACAGTTAACCCTTATACTGTCCAAACGTAGATCTAAGTTTTTTAACACGCTTTCAAATGTAAAAAAAAAAAAAAAAAAAAAAAAAAATGGATTTATGTTCGGAGCGTAGCGGTGCAAACGTAGATCTATGTTTGGACAATTTAAGGGTTAAAATATAAAATAATCTAACAGTATTGTAAAGTTATGCAAAGTAACCCCCACAGCAAAACAAAAAAAGTATGAAAGCTGCTTTTTAAGAAATAAATACAATTCAATAAAAATGCCAGAGGAAAAATTAAAACCCCACATACTTATCGCCTCCAGGAGGTATAATCATTAATGTCTGAAAACAAAGTTGAGGTAAACATTTTAAAATCACTAATGCAAAAAATACTCACATACAGTAATGTATATGAATATCAACAAATATAATGAAATGTGTGAAATGTACCTACCTGGAACTGTTTATGTGCTGTATTTATGAACAGAGTAGTGGAAGCTCAATTTTTCAAAACTGGTTCATTGGAAAACATGGTTAGATGAGCAATTTCAAAATATTGGTCAAATAAAAAACAGTATTCCCAAATTAAATATTAATATTAGTAATCTTGTCAATGCAGATGAAAATGAAATGAAGCACAAATGAAAAATGCAATAGAGGACAGATGAAAAATTAAATTCAGTACAGATGAAAAATTAAATTCAGTACAGATGAAAAAAAAATACAAAACAGATAAACATGAAAATATTTATAATACTGATGAAAGACTCATTAAAATACAGTAATTACCAGTCAACTGGTACTCACGACTAGTATCTTCTGTGCTCTTTTGTGGAGCATCTTTTACTGCACTCTCTGTCTCAGCGTCTGATGCTGCTTTTTCCCGACGATCTACAATTGGGTTTGTAAGAGAATTTTCTTGGACAAATTCCTTTGCTTCATCCATGGTAGCAAACTTTTTGTATCGAGCACAGCGATAACCCTGAATTTGTTCTTGACAATCAGACCTGCAAACAGGGTTAACACATTATAATACTATACTGTAAATTACAATATGAAATAAAAAAAATTCACATTTGATGGCAAGTCTTGAGTAAACACAATTTTTTTTCACAATGACGTTATACTAACAGTACAGTGGACCCCCGCATAACGATTACCTCCGAATGCGACCAATTATGTAAGTGTATTTATGTAAGTGCGTTTGTACGTGTATGTTTGGGGGTCTGAAATGGACTAATCTACTTCACAATATTCCTTATGGGAATAAATTCGGTCAGTACTGGCACCTGAACATACTTCTGGAGTGAAAAAATATCGTTAACCGGGGGTCCACTGTATATGTACAACGGGCAATGCCAGGATTTTTTTTTAATTGAGGGGTGGGACTTGGGGGTTAGCTAGTTGGACAGAAGTCTAAGGGGCTTGCACTTGCAGAGCAAGCAAACCATTTATACTTAAGAATATATATTACAGATGAATAATCATAGCAATGTTTTCTGAAGATCCTTTCATTAAAGAATATGAACAATAATAATATGAAATTACATCAGCATATAATTTTCCATCAAGATAATGGCCTCATTAATCCAATGATATACTATATATATTACAGTAATATAAAAATAATGCAATACAGAGGCTAGCTAAAATAAAAATAAAGTATTTCAATATACTGTAAATAATATGTGCAACATTTTATCTAACTACACGTGATGCAATGAGCCCATAATAGTTCAGTTGAAAATCTTGAATATTTTTGCAATACTTTCTTAAAGAACCAAAACAGTAGAGTTAAAAATAACAATGTAGAGGTCATATTATGTATCAATTCACAGTCATAATTCATTCAACAGTAGCATAGAACAATTAAAATAATAAGATTAGGAAAGACTTTTAGTAAAGCACTTTCAGTTTCCTAAGTCTAGCAATGGATAAATTCTAATGTCTAGTTAAGTACTGACTTTTGCCAATACCATTAATACTGGTCTATACCTAATGATACAGAGATCTGCTTACAGGACAATACTAATACCATTAAAATCAGCCATTTCCCACTTTCCCCCAATGCTGTTGTTACACGCTTATTAAATACTATTAAGAAAAAGAAACCATATACATATACTATAGTCCATATCTAAATATTCGTTACTGGTAAAGTGATCACTGTGTTTGCCACGCAGACTCAAACTCAGGCCAGGCCTTATGACCTAAAAATGAAATATAAGAATTAGAATGACATGCTAAGAAACACAAGAAAATAAAAGAAAGTACATAATGAATGTAAGTTTTTAAGACTTATCTGTCACTATACATGTTCCAATGAAAATTTCATTCAGGCTAATAATTCAAATGAAGTCGCCAAGAAAATGTACATTGGCAGATAAATCCGGAAGGTTTAGTAACCCTGAATAATCCCCAAAAAGCCATTCAGTCTGGCTTATTCCTTTCCCCTTTTTTTTCGGCCCTCTTCCCCTGGATGCAGCCCACAAGTCAGCTAACACCCATGTAACTACTTGTTAAGTGACCAGGAGCAAGAGGTGTAAAGCAACAAGTCCATCTTCTCCACTCTTCCCAGGTACTACAGTTGTGAGACACATAACTACCAATTGGGCTACGAGCTATGAAAGGAAATATCAGTAATCTTGTCAGTGTAAAATAAGTCTTCCATGTCAGTCCCACGGCAGTGCGTCCCTGGACACCTTTAAGTTTTGAAATATTTGCGCTAAAATCTATGCAGAAAATGATGAACGATGACCCCCTATGTTATTTTTTTTTTATTTAATTCATGTTAAGCGCTAGACCCATGTGGGTCATTCAGCGCAAGATGTAATAGAGGCTCGATCCTCTGTCTGCTGAGCACCAGACAGACGCGCTTCCTATTTGTACTCGCCTGTATCTAATGATGACCCCCTATGAAAATAATTAATGCTGTAATATTTTTGTTGAATTCATGTCTATATATTAAACAACCGTGGTTGTTTAATATATTTATAGATGGGGTTGTAAGAGAAGTAAATGCGAGGGTCTTGGCAAGAGGCGTGGAGTTAAAAGATAAAGAATCACACATAAAGTGGGAGTTGTCACAGTTGCTCTTTGCTGATGACACTGTGCTCTTGGGAGATTCTGAAGAGAAGTTGCAGAGATTGGTGGATGAATTTGGCAGGGTGTGCAAAAGAAGAAAATTGAAAGTGAATACAGGAAAGAGTAAGGTTATGAGGATAACAAAAAGATTAGGTGATGAAAGATTGGATATCAGATTGGAGGGAGAGAGTATGGAGGAGGTGAATGTATTCAGATATTTGGGAGTGGACGTGTCAGCGGATGGGTCTATGAAAGATGAGGTGAATCATAGAATTGATGAGGGGAAAAGGGTGAGTGGTGCACTTAGAAGTCTCTGGAGACAAAGAGGGGAATGTATGCGAGTATAGTTTTACCAACGCTCTTATATGGGTGTGAAGCATGGGTGATGAATGTTGCAGCGAGGAGAAGGCTGGAGGCAGTGGAGATGTCATGTCTGAGAGCAATGTGTGGTGTGAATATAATGCAGAGAATTCGTAGTTTGGAAGTTAGGAGGAGGTGCGGGATTACCAAAAACTGTTGTCCAGAGGGCTGAGGAAGGGTTGTTGAGGTGGTTCGGACATGTGGAGAGAATGGAGCGAAACAGAATAACTTCAAGAGTGTATCAGTCTGTAGTGGAAGGAAGGCGGGGTAGGGGTCGGCCTAGGAAAAGGTTGGAGGGAGGGGGTAAAGGAGGTTTTGTGTGCGAGGGGCTTGGACTTCCAGCAGGCATGCGTGAGCGTGTTTGATAGGAGTGAATGGAGACAAATGGTTTTTAATACTTGACGTGCTGTTGGAGTGTGAGCAAAGTAACATTTATGAAGGGGTTCAGGGAAACCGGCAGGCCGGACTTGAGTCCTGGAGATGGGAAGTACAGTGCCTGCACTCTGAAGGAGGGGTGTTAATGTTGCAGTTTAAAAACTGTAGTGTAAAGCACCCTTCTGGCAAGACAGTGATGGAGTGAATGATGGTGAAAGTTTTTCTTTCTCGGGCCACCCTGCCTTGGTGGGAATCGGCCAGTGTGATAAAAAAAAAATAAACACCTGTTACTAATCATTAATTTGTTAATAGCGCATTACTACTGTCTATGGTTTAGCAGTCCCTGGACCCATTATGACTATTATTATTACAATAAAAACCAAGCGCTAAACACACAATGGTATTTGATTATAACCTTTCGACTTCCGTCCACAGCATGGGTATAGGGCTCATAATAAAGATATACAAACTAACGCAGCTTTAACTTAGGATAACTCAACAGTCCAAGAGTAATCTCGAACATAAATAATTGCACGAACTTCTCACCATTTCTCATAGATGCCTGGTTTATGCCCCCTAGCAACAGCATAGAAGGGCATCTTGGAGGAGGCTGTGATGAGGTGCGTGGAGGATAGAGCTCGAGTGAGACAGAGCAGTGCTGAGAGGCGCCTCATACCATGTGTGGTTGATGATGTCAACACCAGCAACCAACAAATTCTCTCAACACTCCAACACAACTCTGGCTTAGTCCAACTCAACCCTCCATTCAAATTAATTTTTTTTTATATTTCTTTGTTATGCTGTACAAAGATAATGTAGTTTACATGTAATAAAACATTGTTTGGCACAAAAGAAAGCCACTAGTAGGCAATGCATTTCGGGCAAACTATTCCTAATATAATAGTCCTAATGATTGAAGACTTCTTAAGAATTAGAAATAGACTATTAAGTAGGTTTTATTATCCAGTCAACTACAATTAATGATGGGGTTTTGGTTCAGGCAACTGGATCTGACCATCGTCTTCTTCATCTAAAATAATTATCCTCCACCCCCTTTCAACCTCTGACCTCCTCCAGGTGCTATAGGACACCAATGGAAATAAGCCAAGGACTCCAATGGAAATTAACCGATGACATTTTCTAGGTTATCCTAGGCAATTTACACGGCAAGGGAAGGAACATTGGGCGTGTTTCTTTACACCGGTTGTCTACGTTCCTCATCAGTAAAATGGGTACCTGGGTGGGTCGCATCCTGGGACAAAACTCGCCTAATTTGCCCGAAATGCTTTGTATAAGAAGGGTCTTTTTATGTAGTAGCATGTCATTGATATCAGCTAGGTCTGTATACCTTGTACATCATATACTTGTAGATACAAATATATTATTATTATTATTATAAATAAACATACCCAGTTGGACTTGACTATCTCAACCTCAATGTCATACACAAAACTTCTAAATCCTTATTTCACCACCAATAGCTAATTTCAAGTCTCCTTATACCGGAAATCTTGTCTAGTTCATCTATAGCTAAAAAGTTCCATGTTAAGAAGCACTCGAACATACGGACAGTTAGAAAGCTGTGACGTCACTTCGAAAAGGACGTTAAAATCAACAATGACGTCACTAGTGGCCGCTCAGCCAGGCATGTGAATTCATGAAAGCATTTCTTGAAAAAACAGAATATCTGCATAAGACAGTGATACACCACGCATACAAATGGCACAACAATGAGCAAAAAAAATGTCGGCCCCAGCATCGTACAAAATTATAATGTGTACAAGTGTGTAGAGAGAGATGTACAATATAATGTACAAGCATTTACATGTAACAGCGCTGATGTCATAGTTATAAACCCTCACGGAAGTGCTGCCACCTGTGCTACACCCACTCAATATTCCATAATGTATATCTTAATATATATCTCACAAGTGTATATTATACTACATAATGTGCAAACAAGCGACTGTTTTTGTTTGTATATGGTTGTATATGGACCTCAATGGAAATTACAGGACCCCAATGGAAATAAGTCACTGACTTTTTGAGGATATCCTAGGTTCTCTACACATATGCTGCTATGTGTGATAATCTATGTAACTGTATTTGTGTATATCCGAATAAACTTACTAACAAACAAGTGGGCTTGTATTTGTAAGTTTGTCAGGTGAGGGGAAGGAAGGCTGTTTAGTGCCATTAATAATAAAGTAAGAGTTAAGGTTGCTACAAGTTAACTGCTATTTGTTGGTTGGTTACACACTCGCACATATACCCACACTTGTTCCCCTCGGACACATCCCCACATCTGCCCTCTGCACGTATACCCACACCTGCCCCCATATATATCCACAACTCCCACGCACACATACCTACACCTGGCCCCACGCCCACAACTGTCCCCTCGCACGTGGGGGCATCTTACACCTGCTCCACGCACTCATACCCACACTTGTCCCCCACTTCCGTATACTCACACCTGCTCCCACGCAAGCATACCCACAACTGCCCCCCCTCCCACACCCACACATCTGCAACCATACATGAAAACACAGTGAAATGGTAGAGATGGTATTCATACATAACTTTAAGAATAGGTATGATAGGGCTCATAAACCTTACCACGGGTGGGATTTGAACCCGCGGTCAGAGTCTCAAAACTCCGGGTTCAAATCCCGCCCGTGGTATGGTTTGTTTGCAATCGTGTCATTACGATTTCGTGAGTCATAGGGCTCATGCATCCATAAACGAGCCCAGAAGCGGTCAGGAGCTGAGAATCAACCCCTGCAACCAAAAATAGGCGACTACATACACACACAGTATTAATAAAATGTATGACATACTATTCATATATGATTGTGAATGATGCAAAATGGAATCGCTCCTAGCCCGGTCCCTGGACCCATTGTGTACCTCTGTTATCTGTAAATACCTTTGTAACTTGTCATGATTGTGACTAGACCTACCTGGAGTTCATTACCTTTGTAAATTGTGAGTTCATTACCTTTGTAAATTGTGAGTTCATTACCTTTGTAAATTGTGAATTCATTACCTCTGTAACTTGCTCAGCTATCAAAACTTTGAGGTCCAGTCCCTGGACCCATTATGTACCTCTGTAATCTTTTGACTACCGCCCACTGGATGGGTATGGGGTGCATAATAAACATATTAAACTAACTCCTGAAAATTGAACATAAAAATGAAGAAAAACAAAAAGCAGAGAAAATGAGTGGGAGTTGGTTAGCAACACAGTATTGAAGGAAAAGTTTCATTGTTCAATAACCGTTTGCAAAATTCAGCAGTCCCTGGCTCTCGCACCTGTCTACTGCAACCCTCCCTGCACAATATAGCAGCCAGCAGATGTAAGATTCTTAGCATTCATTGCCTTGTCCTCCATTCCTGACTTTCACATGCGCAAGGGCACAAGCACCAACCTCTACAAACTTTAAGTCATTGGACCTCATATACCGTGCGTGTGTATTATATATATATATATATATATAATATATATATTATATATATATATATATATATATATATAATATATATATATATATATATATATATGTCGTGCCGAATAGGCAGAACTTGCGATGTTGGCTTAAATAGCAACGTCATCTTTGCCATAAAGGACAAGTGAAAATTTGTATATGCAATAATTTCGCCAAAATCATTCTGAACCTAACGAAAAAAATATAGTTCACTGTGTTTGTTTAGTATTAAATTATTGTAAACAAATCTAAAATATATTTAGTTGGGTTAGGCTAAATAAATTGTTTTTGTTATAATAAGGTTAGGTAAGTTTTCTAAGATTCTTTTGGTGCAAAATTATATTTTTTACATTAACATTAATGAAAAAAATATATCTTTAAACGTATAAGAGAAAATTTCAGAAAGGACTAAATTTTAAATGAGTTCTTGCTAATTGACCAGTTTTACATATTCGGCACGACATATATATATATATATATATATATATTATATATATATATATATATATATATATATATATTATATATATATATATATATATATATTATATATATATATATATATATATATGTGTGTGTGTACTCACCTAATTGTGGTTGCAGGGGTCGAGACTCAGCTCCTGGCCCCGTATGTGTGTGTGTGTGTGTGTGTGTGTGTGTGTGTGTGTGTGTGTGTGTGTGTGTGTGTGTGTGTGTATGTGTGTCGTGCCGAATAGGCAGAACTTGCGATCTTGGCTTAAATAGCAACGCTCATCTTGCCATATAGGCAAGATATTTGGGTTAGGCTAAAATAAATTGTTCTTGTTATAATAAGGTTAGGTAAGTTTTCTAAGATTCTTTTGGTGCAAAATTAAAATTTTTTACATTAACATTAATGAAAAATATATATCTTTAAACGTATAAGAGAAAATTTTAGAAAGGACTTAATTTTAAATGAGTTCTTGCTAATTGACCAGTTTTACATATTCGGCACGACATATATATATATATATATATATATATTATATATATATATATATATATATATATATATATATATATATATATATATATATATATATATTATATATATGTCCTGTCTAAAGGCAATGTGTGGTGTAAATATTATGCAGAAAATTCGGAGTGTGGAAATTAGGAGAAGGTGTGGAGTTAATAAAGCATTAGTCAGAGGGCAGAAGAGGGGTTGTTGAGGTGGTTTGGTCATTTAGAGAGAATGGATCAAAGTTAGAATGACATGGAAAGCATATAAGTCTATAGGGGAAGGAAAGAGGGTAGGGGTCGTCCTCGAAAGGGTTGGAAAGAGGGGTAGTAAAGGAGGTTTTTGTGGGCAAGGGGCTTGGACTTCCAGCAAGCGTGCATGAGCGTGTTAGATAGGAGTGAATGGAGACGAATGGTACTTGGGACCTGACGATCTGTTGGAGTGTGAGCAGGGTAATATTTAGTGAAGGGATTCAGGGAAACCGGTTATTTTCATATAGTCGAACTTGAGTCCTGGAAATGGGAAGTACAATGCCTGCACTTTAAAGGAGGGGTTTGGGATATTGGCAGTTTGGAGGGATATGTTGTGTATCTTTATATGTATATGCTTCTAAACTGTTGTATTCTGAGCACCTCTGCAAAAGCAGTGATTATGTGCAAGTGTGGTGAAAGTGTTGAATGATGATGAAAGTATTTTCTTTTTGGGGATTTTCTTTCTTTTTTGGGTCACCCTGCCTCGGTGGGAGACGGCCGACTTGTTGAAAAAAAAATATATATCAGTGGCAGAACAAATATTAAGGAAATCTTGGTAGAGGAATATTAATATTATAATAAAAAAGAAACGCTAAACCAATAAGGGTCATACAGCTGGTAGAGAAATAGATGGAAAGCTAAAATATGTACCTGCAGTGTATAATGCTAGAGAAGTCTCAACAACTAATTCTAACCATTAGAGGTCATGCAGTCCTTGAGACATGCGTCAGCGTTTATTATACCCAACTTACAAAAAAAAAAAAAAGGAAATAAGAGTGCTTTTAACATATCTTTACCTAATTCAAATAAACTGAATGTATTTTTGAAGTTTTAGCTGGATACGGTTCTGTAGCTGTATGATTCGAGGGAGTTAATTAACCTGTTACCCCAAAAGAAACTTTATTATTATTATATTTCAAGGAAGCGCTTATATCTGGGAATTGTCGGGCGGAAGGTAGGATGGGAAAGGGTCGTTCCAGGAACAG